AAAGGCTGATGTCGTCTTTACGCGGTGCTATCTAATACGAGACTTCGGAACGGCGACGACGACGACACGGCAGATTCCGTCACGCGCCACGAAATTCTACAGCACGATTTGGTTAGATTTCCTGTAAAGTATAAGGCAATGGGAAGGCCTCGGAGGGGAGATACGACTTTACAGATGTAGTGCGACACGCTATCAGAATTGATGTAAGCGTATATCATCGCAAAGTTGAGCCGTTTTCTTCTCTTGTCGCCGAATCAAGATCAGTGTGTGGGAGGGGAATATGCACATGGTCAACGACATGTGTTGGTGGCAATATGAATAACAACTCGTCATTAAGTCAACCGTAGAAAGCTACCAACACAACAACAACAACGACGATTTAAGCCTCAATTGCTATCAACGTTTTTACACAGGCCTCCCAAAAAAGGTCGGCCGCTCCACAACGCCCAAAGGCACTCAACATCGTCAACATTCGGGCAAAGGGGCAAATCTGAAAGAGACTCCACTACTACAAATAGCAAAGAAGTTCACAATCCTTGCACAAAAATGACCACGCGAACCCTTACCGAGCAACTGATTTTCCTTCCACTGGATATCCCCTTCCACACCGTCAATGATCTCATTCACGTGAATCTGATCATACTCCAACTCCACCCTCACGACAACAGTCGCGCTCTACCCAATGCTGTGGTTTAGGCAAGGCATGTTCCTCGCAACACTCTCTCATCTTGGACAGATATGCTTTCTCCAACCTCAACATCTCGAACACCGCAGCAAGGCACTCTTCATACCTACACACAGCGAAGTCATAACCACCATCGTTGCATCGTATAGTTACTTCTCGCGTTCCAAGGAGTTGCCATCATCGAACATATCTCGTATTCTCAACAGGTCTACACCACTCATGCTCTTGTCGAGCCTCAACACTTCTCGCAGCAACGACTCCACAGTAGCGAGAGGCTCCCCTTGTGTTGGTGATATACCGACTGCTATGATTGAACGAATAGTTCTGAATTATCGACGCAGGAATATCATCTCTGTTGAGTTCAATATCGGAGTTATATTTATAATTGTTCTTTCTAGTTATTATTGTTAAACTGACTTCATTTGTCCAGCCTCACACAATTTCGGAGGCGACGAGTTACTCATAAAATTTCACCACGAGAAAATTCTTCATCCCTACTACACTGTAAACTCAACACTAATGCCCGGCTGAGGTGCCTTATGACCACTCGCATGCTGATATCTCAACGATAATACACCACAAGGTTACCTCAGGATAGTACTTGTTTGCAGAGGGCTTCAATGATCATCAACGCTGTACAAAACTATCAACCAAAACTCATACGAGTCAATTCGGAACAGTCAGGTTAAAGCAATGGTCACGACAACGACGACGACGATAGTAATTTTAAAACGCTCCAAGACAGTCGGTTTCCGAACGGCATTCAACCAAGTCATCTGCGACTATCTCGACGACCAGCAGTAGAGTGCGCTACACTGCCACGCCCCTGAATGTTAAAATTCATACAATTGCACAAATGCCAATGTAATACTTTCAAAAGGCGGCCTCCACCCGTAGCGAAGGTCTTCTGGCAAATGGGAATATGTCGCTTAGAGGCCTCATCGTGAAATGTCCGTCCACAGTGAGGACACTTGACCATGTGTTGGCGTTCATGTTCAGCTTGCAACTCTGCAAACTTAGCAGCAGCCACTTGTCTCTCATAAGGGTCCGTAGATCGACACGATGCAATAGCAGCCTAAATGCCATACCACTCCTCGCCCACATCCTCCCAAGCCTACCCTAAAAGCCTCGCTCTGTTGCTTCCACTTAGTCGGCTTGGCCTTCTGAGGTCCTCTCCTTTTCTCCTGCATGGCTTTCCTTATCAATTGATCCTTATTCTCAAATCCATGCAAACGATTAGCCACAATATCAAACCTATCAGCCGAAAAATTCTTAGCGGAGCGAAGCAACAACATCCTCACTCGCGTC